GGTTTCGGTTTATTTTTGTTGATGTTGTAGTTGTTATTGTTGTAGTTGTTGTTGTTGTTGTTGTTGGGAAACGAAAGGTTATGATGAGATACTTGATTAATAATATGCTCGTAATAGAATTGTTGTATTTTTTTTTTCGTTTTTGTATTGTTTTTTTTTTTTTTTTGTGGTGAAAAGTAAAATTAAGTGCCACACATAAAGAATTTTGTTATGCAAATATAAACACAAAACACAAATGAAAATACATGCATACCCATGCTCATTTGATTTGTGTACAGTTTTCTTTTATAGACGTTCACTTTTCATTTTTCTTTTCGACTGGCAGTACGACAAATATTTGCGATGGGTATGCATGAATTTTTGCAAAATACATTGAATGTGCCTCAAGGTAATAAGGAACAAAACGAACGGAAAACACAAACAAACAAACTAAACCAAACACAAGACACAAAAGCATAATGTATGTACACATAATGTAAATGCAGTAACAATAATGACATTCTCGAATGAAAAATGTTATGCCAGAACTTTGCAGAGAACAAAGAAATTGTTGGGGAAAATTTCGTATTTATTTTGTTTGTTTTGTACATGTTTTGTTTTTTCTTTTTTTTCGGTTTTGGATTAGCACATTATCAATGAAAAATTGTTGTCAAAAACACGTCAACGACATAACACGAAACACAAAAATTTGCAAAGGTTTTCACGTTTAGCAAAACGGAATGTAGACATTTATGAATGCAGGGAAGTCGAACAATAGTAATAGAATATGAACACGGACAGGTGGACAGGTGGACGGGCGGGAGGTTAACTGGTTTTTGGGAAAACAATGCATCTGAACGTCGGACGCTTACATAGATACATACGGACACAAGCATACCTACAGACATTCATAAAATCATCATCATCAACACGCACACAAAGACACACACACAAGCTCACACATACATACAGTCATACACGCAGACATCACGGGAAACACAGAGACACATATGTATATATATTTAGAAATATACACAAAGAATATGAGCTAAATGGAATAAATCACATTTGAAATACACGTTGACGGACTTGAAAATAGTTTTTCAGTTAGCCCAAGTTAAATGAACAGAAATTCAGTAAGGGAAAGACACAGATAGAGTGAGTACGAGAGAAAGAGAGAGAGAGAGAGAGAGAGAGAAAGCGAGCGCAAGATAGATGAAAAACATAGATAAATAGTGACTTAAAGAGCGACAAGCATGGATGAGACGTAAGTACTTACAAACAGTAAATAACATAATGAAAGCTGAAGGTCGAATGGCATTGGGTACATGTATGTTTTTATATATATTTATATAGGTGTGTTTATTTACATGTTTATGTGTTGGTATATACACACGTAGATGTGCTGTGCAGTGTGTGTGTGAATGTATGCATATCCCAAATATTGATATAATCTCAAATATTACTTAAGGCCATTTGTCCAATTTTAAATATTTTCCATTGCATACTTTTAGGCATGAATTTAAATTTCTTACATATTTAAAGCATTCAATAAATATTGGATGGCTATATTAACTTATTTGCTATGCATATATGCACACACATGCACAGTTAGGAAAAACAGCCTTGTGTGGAAAGCTGATGGGTTTTCCATATGCATGTGGATATTCGTGTGTGTGTGTGTGTATGTGTGTGTGATAACTTGAATACCAGAATTGAAAATCGGATAAGAGGAATGGGGTAAATGGGTCTGTATGTGACATGTATTGTGAGTATGGCTATGCACACATATGCACCAGAATATGCGTGTGTGGTAGTGTGTGTTTGTGTGTGTGTGTGCGTATGCATGTGTGTGTGAGTGTTTGTATGTATTTCGTTAATATCGAAGATCGATGCACTTACGATAGTACACAAAGAAATCACACAGACCCACCCAAATACAAATACACAGCGCTCTCGTTCCCTATGTGTGTGGGTGTGCGTGTGTATATGTATTATATGCGAGTATCGAGTATGCTTTCTGTGCGTATATTGTATTTAGTTTAGTAGTACATTTGCAATTAGCTCGTGATGGCAGCTCTTAGGAAACATCGCTGGCTCTCTCAGCAGAAAGCACCACCATAACTCAAAGTCAGTTTCGTCTATGTTGGGCCCTATGCACACACAAATAATTGACAGCTCCAATTTCGGGCAATCGGAGGCGTGGCAAGTGCACTCGCGCAGATGCCCTCCCCCAAACCTATCGTACATTATTATTATTATTATATCGGCTGTATGCATGCAAATGCATACGCCTTCAGTTAACAATTTGGCTTTGGGCTGCAAGTGAGCGGGGAGCTTGGTTTTGCTTTGGCTCTGGTCTATATATTGATGCTTTTAGGTATATGTGTGTGTGTGTGTGTGCGCTTATGATTGTGTGAGACTGTTACTAAGTATTAATCATAATGATGTGGAATACCTAAGGTGTAAGTACTCTGGCATATGCATTAGTTATATAGTATTTCGATTGGGGTTTGTAGTTGRTTGTTGTTGTTGATATTGTTGTTTGGTTTATTTATTTTTATTTTTTGTTTGGTTTTTTTAAATAGATTTTTGGGGATTACTAAACTGAACAAAAGTAGTAATGAAAATAGTCAACAAGATCGGCGATCAGTGACGCTCTGACCACAATATCCATTTCGTGTAGTGGCCATGTTCAAATCTTTTCATTTCTCTCAATCATTAACAATAATCAAAAAATTATTAATCGTTACTAATATTAGTTGGAAACGCAAAAGAAATCGTCTATGTATTGAAAATAATTAGTTGGGAAATAAAATATAAATATGCATATGTTATTATCATGTACTTTCGTGTACTACTACATTTAGCTCCCATTCAATTCATTTGATATCAGATAGGTATTTCCTTTTATCGTTTGCCTAAGTTGGAGAGGTGGACGCGCATGCAGTTCACTTAAGGTAACGTATGTGCTTTTTTTTTACGCTAAAATATATAACGACGAGTTGAGCACAATATATATAATATATAGACAAATATATGTATATATATGTGTCTTCTTAATTGCTATGCAGTCTAAATCTTTTCTTGGTTTTTCGGTGAGTCAAGTTGCAAGTCTTTTATATCATTTCATTGATGGTGTTCTCGCTTGTGTGTTATTTCAATTTGATAAAAGCCTGTTTTCGTGTGTAATTCGCACCTATTTGTTATTTAAAAAACTTGTACTTAATCGCCTAATGGTTGCCTTTCTATATTGTTCTCGTATTTCATTTCACCGAAAAATAAGCAAAACTTTTAACAAATTTCGCCTTTGCATTCAGCTCAGAAATTCTAGAACAACAAAAAAGTTCTCTAGATATTGGGCAATCAAAATGTTTTTTAAACTCTTTTACAGGCCTACCTAGATTTTTTGAGCTACTAACTTTTACCAATCTTTGCCTTTACAGCTAATGGCTAAAACTCTCTATAGATAATAAATCTTTTTAAAAAAATATATATATCGAATTTATTTTTATATCGATTGATTCCTATCGTTTGGACCATATTGAATCAGGATTGTTGTAACTAATTGTTGTTATTTGTGTATTTGGTTTGCTTGAATTGTTTCAAAAAATAACAATAAAATATAGATATATTCGAAAATTGTGATTAAAAGGATAAAACGAAAGGAAAATTATAAGTTGTTGGACTATTTGATGTGAGGGCCAGTTGTGAGCTTTTGAATTGGATTTGGATTTGGATTTCGATATCGATTTCGATGTCGCTTTCGATTTCGATTTCGATGTCGCTTTTGATTGATGAGGTGTGTATGTATGTACGTATGTATGTCGCATGCATGCATATGTAACAATATACATACAAGTGTGCGCACACATATGCCAATTGAATGTACATCGAGAGCAGTAGGCATGCTGGAAATGAATATCGTTGCAAGTACATAGAGATCGGTATTAAATACATACATATATGTATGTACTCGCAGTCATATTCATGCAGCTCTACGATATGATAGGCATACATTCATATGTACATACACGACTGAATATTTACTGTCTAAGAATGGGGCTCGGCGAGGGGGGTGTATGTACAAAAAACTATTTACAAGTGTGAGTTTTTCTTCTTTTGGGCGGGGGAAACTGAACTAAAGACAATGAAGCCAACAAGCGATAAATTCGGAATATATATACATATACATATATTAATATATACATATACTTAGCATGTGTGTATATATGTGTGCAACTAGTTTACTATGCACACACATGTACAGCTTGATATATACCATATATATGTATGTATATGCAGTTAATTATGTACATTGATAAATGGATTCAAAGAAAACACACAAAATAGTATATGAGACTATGTTCAAATTTTACACATTGATGTACATATCGATGTATGTATGCAGTAGATACAGACAGTTAGGCATATATACATACATGCACACATACATACATATGTATGCATGTTAGAAATGTACTAATAAAACTACGACTCAACATTTTGGAGAGAGAAGAAAAAGATGAATAAAATTCAGAAACACAAAAATTTAACATATTAACAAAATATAGAGTATTTTTTTTTTTCGATTTTTGTTAGTGTTTCTTTTGCAGTTTTTTTTTTGTATTTTTTTTTCGTTTGTTTTGTTTTTGTTTTTTTTTTTTAATATTTTTGTTGTAGTAATTTGTATTTGTATTTAGAGCTGGCTTTTTCATTACTTCTTTTCAACTAACCTCAGACACAGGGAGAAGTTTCTATGTACTACAACTGACCTGTAGCACAATGCCATCAAGGTGAATGTTATAAAAACGAACCCTACAACTGACATTAGAACACCGACTAGGAACACTGTATTTGAGCCGTGGTAGTTCTCTATACGAGATTAATTTGCCATTTGTTTCGATACATGTGTAGATGTGTATGTGTGTGTGTGTGTGTGTGTGTGTGTAGGTGGGTATGCGTATAGATGTGTTTGTGTGTGCAGTTGTGTTAGTTTCGGGTGCATTCAACATATGCACATATATATGTATATGAAGATATGGACAATATATTATGCATACGCCATGGTGTATTGGCAGAGTTCAGTTTATATTTTCGGAGAATATATATTTTTAAGTCATTTGATATATATATATATACGTAGTTAAATTCGCATACATTACGTTGTAAGATACCAGGTGTTTGTTGTTATTTGTAGTTGTTGTTGTATTTATATACATATATATATATATATATGTATATAGTTTATGTTGTTTTTCATTTTATTGATACACAAAACATACACACACATATATATATAATATATAGACAAAGAGATTTTGTCATGTATATATATATGCATATATGTATGTATGTATATATATGCATATTGGTATTATTTTTGGTTGATGTTGTCGTCGATATCAGTTTTGCAGTTGGGGTGGTGGGTCGGCCGAAAGAAAATAAATAAACAAGCAAATAAATAACATTTTGAACGTTTCCTTCTCATCTTTTGTTTGTGTGTTGGGAAAATTTTTTAGCATTTTTTTTTTTTTTCACTTTTTGTTCGTTTCATCTAAATTATTGTGTGATTCTTTTTCATTCTTGCATTTCAATTTTCTATTATTTTTGCAGGTGTCACAAAAATATTGGAGCTCAGCACACAAGAAAACGCAATTCGGCAATGGAATTTGCCAACAAACACATATAAGCATACATATACATATAAATATTGATATACATATATATGTATGTATGTATATGCGTATATTTACAGATTGTGTGCCGTTGTTGGTTGGCCCAACACGAATATAAATGTATGTATATATGCATATACATATATATATTTTAATCTGGCCACAAGAACGGATCGATTGATGCCGAAATCGAACGACTCTCACATCTGCGCCTCGAGTTCGAACTGCTTTTAATTTCACTTAAATTTTCTTTTGCATTTTATGAAATTTTGTTTGGTTTTAGTTTTTGACTTTTATGTTTCTTCTTTTATTTTTATTTTCGGCAGCACCCAGTCTATGACAATGGTAATCCAGGCTATACAAATACACTATGATAGAGACGCCCTAGCAGATGCGCATATGTATATGTGACATATACTTGGACAATCTTGAGTGTGAGATATGTGATGGCATAATTAAGGGAAAATAAATTACTACATATATATATATATATATATGTATGTATATTACTATCTCGTACTCAAGATTTGCGTTTGGTTAGTTAAATTAACAGAAATAAAACGAAATTAAATTAAGAGTAAAATAAAACTCTTATGTATTCATTTGTGTACGAATGTGTGCGTGTGTGTGTGCCGTCGCATGTGTGAGTGTTAGCGTGTGAGGATTGGGAAGTGGGTTGGAGGATGCAAACTGGGCGTGTCTGTCTAGTTTGTAGTATGCGTGAATGCGTGATTGTTAATAGAAATGCATTTACATATTAGTATGAATACGAGTGTATGTATGTATATGTTGTGTCTGCATATGAATACATATAGGTAATATATATATATAGAGAGAGAGAGTGAGATTTACTTAGTTACATACATACATACACGGCACTTGATATGAAGAACAACAATTTAAAAACGAAACCGAAAATTGTTAACACACACATATGTATTACTCGATAGCATGAACCAGCGCGCAGGTAGTAAGTATAAGTACATCAAGTATTTAACAACATGAATACATACATACATACATACACATACGAATGTATGCTGCCATACGCATACAGACAATGTATGTACATAGGAGATGTGGACGAGCACGCACAGCGATATGAAAAATACATGAAACGGACGAAACACAGTTTAAAAAACAAAAACAAAAAAAAAAGAAAAAGAAAAACAAACAAACAAAATGAAAAGTAAAATTCAAATATTAAACTGAAAATATATGTATATTTTCGTTATTGCCCACATACGCAGGCTTCATATGCAGCTATTGTATTGAAACAAATGAAAACGGGGCACACATACATACATACACAACTAATTAATAAAAAAAACCTCGTATGTTGTTGGCAGACTATGGGCTGGTATGTACACACATACATACAATACATACAAACATATGATGTTTGTGAAATATATTTAACAAACGAGCACATGCATACAAACACACAGACACAGAGCTACACGCTCACACACACACACACACATGGACATACACACACACACACACAAACACGCACGCACAAACACTCACACACACACATACATCGATAAGCACATGCATGCATACGCACATTTATAGTATGGCAATAAGTATTTTGTTGCTGTGGGTCAGACACGCAAGAGAAACTGTTAACTATATACATATATACATATTTGGATATATGTATATGTTTTGTGGGTGGGCAACATCCGTAAGCTGAAGAGAGCGTGCTTAGGTGAGCGAGAAGGAAAGCGAGTGATAGAGACAGTGAGCGAGTGAGTGAAAGAAGGAAGAGAAGCAAAAGAGATCTGCCAAGTCTGACCTTCAGCTGGAAGCATGCAACAATATTGACCATCAATAAAGCAGACTTTTCTCACTTTAGATCAATGAGTCCTACGTCTGAATGCTGGATTGATTGCCCTATTTTTGTTGCCACACTTTTGAATAGGTGTTCTAAGCTCTTGCGTATTTCTGCATGTGCATGTGAGCGTCTGCATGTGTGCGTATGTGCGCATGTACGTATGTGCGTATGGTGTGTATGTGTGTGTGTGTGTGAGTGTGACAGTGCATGTGTGCATGTGTGCGTGTTTGTGTGTATGTGTGCGTGTATGTGAGCGCATGATCGGTGTCACCGATTGTTGAGACTTTGCTTGGTACTCTACCTGTAGCAAACGGCCAGTGTTGCAAAACTAATGAAGACACACTTGACGATAACTGTTAAAATGATGACCATGGTTAATGTGCTGATCCTATTTTGGTCAGAGGTGCCTGGAAATGGTGGTTGCAATTTATTGTTGTTGTTTTTTCTTTTCGATTTATTTTTTTTTTTTTCAATTTTTTCCAAATTATATAGGTTTGTATGTAAATGTGTTGCAATTGTTCTGAAATCTGAATACTATATAGAATCGAATCGTATCCAATCATTTGTTCAATTGTTTTCTTACAAATTAAATCCGCCCAATTGATTTCAAGGTTAAAAAAAAAAATCTAAATAATTAAGAATTGCTTGAAATACATTTTAAAAAATAATTGTTTATCGTTTTCAAAGCCTTAACTATTCAATATTTTCTTTTTTTATTTTTTAAATTTAATAAAAAATGTTGATTTTTCTAAAATTTTAAAATGTAAAAAAAGTTATTTTTAAAAATATTTA